GAGTTCAAGGCCACTCGGGGTAGCATAGCAAGACTCTCTTACTCTGTAGTTCAGGCTGGTCTTGAACTTTCTGTGTAGCTCAGGCTGACCTCAAACGCAAGGTGATCCTCCTGCCTCAGTGCTGATATTACAGCATGCACAACACTCAGCTTATCTGAAATTTCAAGTGTTCTCTATGTAATGTTTTGTTCCACTTTCTAGAATTCTTAATGAGCTAAGTTTGGTAAGTAGCAAGCACTTTGATGGCAGGACCTATGTCTGTTACCTCTATTCCTAGCATTACATTTTTTTTTTTTTTGTCGGTACCGGGGATCGAACTCATGACTGCCTGCTTGCAAGGCAGGCGCTTATGCCACTGAGCTAAATCCCCAGCCCCCCTAGCATTAAATATTAAAACAGTAAATGCTCGCTAGTTAGAAAATAATGAAATAACTCAGTTGTGTGGGGATGATAGTGTTAAGTGCTAACAACGAGAGTCTTTTAAGTGGTTGTTTTTGTCTTAGGAAGAATCTGACTGATGACATTGTGAAAGTTACGTTCGCCCACCCCTACACTGAGCATCGGTTGCAGAACCTTATCCATGCTTGGCAAATGCTCTGAAGTGCAGAACACCTCTAGCATAAAAATTATGTACATTTAAAGTCATTTTCTGACACTCTGGGAGGCTGAAGCTGGAGGATCACAATTTGGAGCCCTTCCTGCGCAATTTAGTAACTTAGCAAAACTCAGCAAAGCGCACGTGCGCGCGCACAGAGGGAGGAGGGCAGGCAGACAGGCAGGAGATTGTTGCTTAGTGTGAAGGCCTTGAGTTGAATTTCCTATACTGCTGGAAGTTGGCCCAGAGGGTGCCAGCCACGTGCGTCTCGGGGGCCATGCGCAACCTCGCGGGTGTTCCTCCAAGTGGGAAGTGTTGGCACCCTCATCTTGGCTTGAATTTCCTGTACCACCAAAAATAAATAAAATCATCCCTGTAGTAGTTAAAAAGTACAAAATGCACAAGAGAATTCCCATGTTCCCACTTAACCTGTATGGGTTTTCACAGCAGCACCAAATTCTTGTTCTGCTGGAGTCCCCGGCCTCTACTTTACTGCAGCCCTTTTACAACATGCATTAGTGCTACACAGTCATTTTATATCTGAATGCAACTCAGCAATGTACTAAATTGAAAATTTCTTTTATTACAAAGCAGTTACTTAATACTCATTTTTAATAGCCAGTGTTATAAAATAAGAAAAATTGATTTTAAGTAATAAATAGTACTTTAAATTATACTAATCAAGAATCATAATTATCAATGACTGTACTTGCGTACTATTCAATATAAAAATGTGAGAACTAAACATCAAATAAGATGCATTTTAACTTCCATGTTAACAGTGAGAAGTATATCCCTTTTATATTTTTGTGTCTAATAGTCATATTACCTTTCTGTTTGACTTTTATTTTAGAGTAGTAATTCTCAAGGGGAGGGCCCTTCTTTTGGTCACCGGAGGGACAGTTCGTACTGCATGGAGACACTTTGGGTTCACACCCAGTGATACTACTGACATCTGGTGGATAGAAGCTGGAGACACTGTGAAACTTAGCTCACAGAGTAGTCTCCATAAAGAGAACACTTGACTGAGGATTTCAACAGTACTAGGGTTAAGATAGCACTTTCCAAACAATGGGTGGGTGGGTGGTTTGGGTTTGGTGCCAGTTAATTTAAGTGAGCTCTGGCTCCATACTAATGGAGCTCAGGAACTGAATTCCACAGAGACTAGTTAAGTTTTTTGTAGCCCCTGCACCCTAGTCCCAGCCAAAGGTCTTGAACACTTCTGTTACTGAATTCAGTAACAGTGACAGTGTAGTACGTGTTTAGTATAAAGTCATGACTACTCTGGAAAACCTCTCAGGTGATTTTCACTTCAACCCTGGTGCTCCCTGTGGGCTGTTGCTTTCTGACGGGAGTCTGGTTGTAAACATGGTACCTTACTTGCACGCAGTTGTCCAGCTCACTGCCACCAGCAGGGAGGAGAGTAGAGACCTAGCAGCTCTCCGTTAAGACCTACACTCTCCAGACACATGCAAACAAGTGCTAGGAATAAGTAGCAATTAATGGTGATGAAGTTGTTCTTCATGGCTGGCTCATAGGGGACAGTATTTCAAGGTTCTCTTGTAAGATTGTAACCCAGGGCCTCCTGCATACTAAAGAAGCACTTTATCACTAAACCACATTCCCCACCCCTAATTTCCCCACTACAAGTTGATCTGCTATGAACAGAGAGTTATATTTAAAGTGTGGCCTAAAACCGAGGTGACAAACCTACTCCACTCGTGTTATTGTAGTTTTATTTTAAAACAAAAGTAGAGTTGTTTGTTGTAAACTAAAACCTCAGTATTCAAGTTGAATTGCAGTGTTGGCACTTCTTGATAAATAAATGGCTTTGGGGTTGCAGTTTGGCTCTTGATCTCTAAAAGGTGTACGACTGCTGACCTAAAGCATTTATTGATATACAAATGAGGATAATATAGAACAATTCTGATTTTCATATAAATTATTTCTCTAAAATACAGTACCTAAAAAAAACACTACAATAAGCCAAGATTTATATAATTGGACTTGTAAACCTTTAAGTCCTTAAACTTTAATGGAGAAAATTTGTTTAAAATTTGGGTGTTTTATTCTGCTCTATATTTTGAAAGCAGCTATGAGTAAAAATACTGGGTGTGAAAAAAAATACTTGGGATAATTTTCATAAAATTGTCTCTTTTTACATGCAAGTGTTTATAATAGTTTTATTCCTAATCAAAATTAATATGCAACAAAGATGTTCAGTAAGTGAATGGATATTCAACTGTAGTATATCCATAAAGAGAAAGTTATTCAACAATAGAATAAATGAGCCACACAAAAAGACATGGAGGAGTTTCAAATGTATATTGCTTTAAAAAGTCAGTGTGAAAAGCATGCATAACATATGATTCCATTTAAATGGCATTTTGAAATAAGCAAAACTATAGCAATAGTAAAAAGATTATTTAACATGAAGAGTGAGCCCTGATATAAACTATAAACTTTAGCTGGGCATGGTGGCTCACACCTGTAATCCTAGCACTTGGGAGGCTGAGGCAGGAGGATTGTTGTGAGTTCGAGACCGCCCTGTGCTACAAAGTGAACTCAAGGCTGCCCTCACTGCATAAGGACCCTGTCGCAAAAAAAAAACAAAACAAAACAAAAAAACAACTTTAATTACTAGAAGTAGATTAATATTGGTTCATCAGTTATGAGAAATGAACCATAAGAGTGTAAAATGTTATTCACAGAGAAAACTTGGGAGGGATTTGAAAATTGTCCATACTTTCTGCTTGCTTTTTTCTTAAACTTAAGTGTCTCTGCCACACAGTCTATTAATTTATTTTAATATAGAAAACTATTTTTATGGAAAAAAGCAAAACTTAATAGAATAACAATAGTTAATATATTGCATATTGTTATCTTTAAAGTAACTACTAAGAGTATAAGATATGAGCATAAAAAATTCTCCAAACAATATTAGCACAAACCTTTTCATTGAACTGGTAGTATAACTATCTTGTATTAATAGTCTCTTTTTTGTACTAAGTGGCTCATTTGTATTGTGGAAGTACACTTGTTATTTAATATATTTGATATTTGGGAGACTACACATGCATAATGGAAGAACCACTAGCTTTCATGTCAAGTCCAACTCCTAATATTTCCTGATGAACTAGTTGACTTTGGACTCTTTGACTGCTATGTATCTGCCTCAGACCTAAAAAGAAGGAGAGTACTTAAGTGATAGTAATAACAAGGAAATAAGATAGTAGAATTAAAGAGTGACCAGGAGGAGGGAGGAGTGGACAGATTTGGAGTCAGACAAGGGGGCCCAGACTGTTGTTGATGCTGGCTGTGCTCCTGGACCATGCTTAGCAACTCGATGGACATAAAGTGGCTATCAGTTGCTGAAGGTCACAGAAGTGGGGACTCAGTAGCTGAAGCTTTACTTTTTAAATCTTATTTTTTCTTCCCTGTAAACTCATTCTGTTGGTGACTGTCTCATTGCTTGCTATAAGGAGCAATTAAGATCAGCTCTGAGGAGCCATGGGTGCACACCTGTAATCCCAGTTACAGAGGAGGCTGAGGTAGGTTTGTGAGCTCAAGGCTAGCATGAGCAGCATCATGAGTTCTTGTGTCAAATAAACAAAAAGGATCGTAAATCGTAAAGAACAACCTACAGAGCCTTGCATAGTAGAAGCACCAATAAATCTTCAGTCCCTCAGCTGTTCTGAGTTCTGTCAGATAAAATATGGTACTTATCCCTATCACCAAAGAGTCTATCTCTGGAATTTTGAGAGCCATGTGCTATAGGCTGAATCTTAAATATCTGGAAATGAAGGTCTAGCACTGCATTATACTACTAGTGCTCATGCTTATTTTATGAATAATGATCAGTAGTTGTGAGTATAAATACCAGTGGTGCCAACAATGCCCTTGTTGGTTTAAATGCTTTAGTCTTTCTACACTGGCTTTTGTTTTTGAGTGCAGTTTCAGCACACTGTATTTATAGGCCATCAAGACTGGACGCAGAGCTGTGAGGGCTTAGCCGTGAGTGTCAAGGTACAGACAGGGCAGTGGTAAAATGTTAGTGAATTTTGGGGCTGGGAATTTAGCTCAGCGGCATAAGCACCTGCCTTGCAAGCAGGCAGTCGTGAGTTCGATCCCCAGTACCAATAAAAAGGAAAAAGACAAAAAAAAAAAAGTTAGTGAATTTTTATAGCTTAATCAAAGATACTTAAGGAAAACCATTACCTTTATTACCTTTTTCTCATAGCAAGGACATGGCTGAGAAGATGTAACAACCAATAGTGTAGAACAGTATCGTTTTGGATTCCTCATAAATTACCAACACATGCACCATGTCACCCTGGTGGACTTATACTGAATGTTACAGTGCACTGAATGCTAACCAGACTTCCTCCTCCCCTCTTTGCTGCAGACCCTAATTATCTAATGGCTAACGAGCGCATGAACCTGATGAACATGGCCAAGCTGAGTATCAAGGGCTTAATCGAGTCAGCTTTGAACCTGGGCAGGACTCTGGACTCGGATTATGCACCCCTCCAGCAGTTCTTCGTGGTGATGGAGCACTGTCTGAAGCACGGTTTGAGAGGTAGGCTTGGTCTCCTATGCAGAAGTGTAGGCAGCTGGCACCTGGCAATTTGCACACTCAGAAAGAAAACATTCTCTGCAGAATTGTTAAATATCTGGTGGATTGTAGCCTCTGTGAGAGTAGAGGTATGATGACTTACAGATTCACAGGGTGGGCTAGGGATTTAGCTCAGCTCAAGTATGTACTTGGTAAGCATGAGGTCATGAGTTCGATTCCCAGTACCAAGGTAAAAAAAAAAGCAGGGAAAAAAAAGACTCACAAGGCTTTAAAATACGGATCATTAAACATTGTCAGAAGGGCCACCATAAGTGCTTCAGTCCAATACAGAAGGTCCATATAATTGACTGGACAGTAGGCCTGCCTGTCATAGGACACAACTTGCCCAGGTGACTGGGGTAGAGCAGGCGCTACAACTCATGTCTCCTGACTTGCTTCAGGGTTCATGGCCACAAACCTTTGAAGCAGGAGCCAGTCTTACTCACATTTGCTTCTTTTCACCTCGTTCCTTAGTAGGCAGATTGGGAAACACTGTTCTTTTCAATTGGACTATTGTGTTTACTAATGCTATGAAGTTTTAAGCACTAAATTGGTAAAATGTTTTATTAGCACATTGGGCCACAAGTTCTTCCTAAAAAGGAAGGATTAAGTCTTGGAAAGTGGAATTTTTTATTTCATAAAATTTTATTTATTCTGAAAGCAACAATAATTTTTAAATTGTCTAATAACCTGGGGTTAGGTCCTTGAAAAGATGGGAGAAGTATGGGAGGAGTGTGTGCATGTGTGCACGTATGTATTAAGAGTCATTATATTATTAAAATATTAAAATGGTATTTCGTTTTTGTTTTAGCCAAGAAAACTTTTCTTGGACAAAATAAATCCTTCTGGGGGCCTCTAGAACTGGTGGAAAAACTTGTTCCAGAGGCTGCAGAGATAACAGCAAGTGTTAAAGATCTTCCAGGACTGAAGTAAGTCTATGGATGAACCACGTTTCTTTTTTTTTCTTTTCTTTTCTTTTTTTTTGTACTGGAATCAAACTCAAGACTTTGTGCTGGTCAGGCAGGCTCTTGTGCTGCTGAGCTGTATCCCCAGCCCTGAATTCTGTTTCTTAAAGAGTAACATTCTTATTATCTCTTTGAAGGGTGGAAGATGAAAGTGTCCATAATCATCTTATAGCAATCCAAAAGGCATTATCCTGTTATGAATAAAGTCATAAGAGAAGTGGTGTTTAGAGTTTTAAGAGAAGTGTGCTGTTGAAAGATAATTATTCATCCAAGAGAATTGTCTTCATGTTAAAATACTGAGCATTTTCTTCGTCGTTGTCGTCTTCTTTTCTTCTTTCTTTCTTCTTTTTCTTCCTATTCCTTCTTCCTCCTGCTCCTTTTCTTCTGCCTTATTTGTGAGAATCAGCTTCAAGAAATTCAGTCTAGAAAGTGTCATGCTTGATCTAACAGTAAAAAACCAAACACTATTCAGCAGGACTTGCTGGTGCATACATATAATCCCCAGCATTTAGGAGCCTGAGGCAAGAGGAGTACAAATTTGAGGCTAGCCAGGGCCACATAATGAGTTCAAGATGACTGGACTACATAGTAAGATCCTGTCTCAAAAAAAAGTAAAAAATAGTATTCAGTGGAGTTCGAGAGCCAGTTATTAAAACACATATCAAATGAACTTTAAGAACTACCACCTGCTTTGTCTTAAAATTTAGTATTGCTGATCACCTAAAGGAGATTGGTTTAATTTTAAGCAGATAAAAAATTAAATTATCTGTCTCTGCAGTTGCATTTGTCTAATAACATGGACAAAAATCTTCTTTTTCTTTTTTTTCCTTTTTTATTTTTTCTTTTCTTTTTGTCTTTTTTAGACAGGGTCTTGCTATGCAGTTCAGGCTGGCCTTGAGCTCACTTTGTAGCCTAGGCCCGTTTGAACTTACAGTGATTCTCCTGCCTCAGCCTCACAAGTGCTGGGATTATAGTCATATGCCACAACACCCAGCGTGAGTTTTTCAGTATAAATCTAAAAGGATGTTTCCAGCTGGTCTCCAGTGATCTTGTCTTGAGAATGTATTCACATGCAGTGAGTAATATTTTTGTGAAAGCACCTGTCCCGAATATGTCCTTAAGTCTCTGTCCCACAAGAATCCCTCACGCAGAGATGTGTGGGAAAGGCATGAGAAGCACTGTGCTGTGCTCATTTCAGTCTGACCACTGACCAGAGCAGTGAGTCTGCAGCATTGTGGCACCTCTACTGTTAATTGTGCTGTTATTCTTACATTTTGGGATGCTGTGTTTTCTAGGACGCCAGTAGGCAGAGGAAGAGCCTGGCTTCGTTTGGCATTAATGCAAAAGAAACTTTCAGAATACATGAAAGCTTTGATCAATAAAAAGGAACTTCTCAGGTATGAACATCTTTTTTTAGCTTTCTTCTTTCCTTGATATATTCTATGTCATACAAACAACTTGGATTAATCTCATGAATATAATGTTGAGCAAAGAAATAAAACAAGGGCTGGGGATTTAGTTCAGCAGTTCAGCACTTGCTTGGTAGGCGCAAGGTTGTGAGTTTGATCTCTGGTACTAGGGGGAAAAAAGGCAAGCAAGCAAGCAAGCGAATACATTTTGTATTGTTCCATTTATATATAGTTTAAAACATGGGGCTGGGGATTTAGCTCAGCAGCATAAGGGCCTGCCTTGCAAGTGTGAGTTCGATCCCTGGTACCGATGGAAAAAAAACATACATTAAAAAAAACAAAGACATGAAAAAAAAATTTTTTTAATTTCCCCAACCATTTCTTCAAAAAAACATGAAATCTTTTATAATAGGAAAGAAGCCACCCCTGCCCAGTGGCTTTCCACTTTCTGGTGATGTACTGTTTCTCAGTCTAGATGCTGATTGGGTATGTATTCACTCGGAAAACGCAGAGGGCAAGGGTGAGGGCTAGGGCTATAAGGCAGTGAGATAGTGCTTTCCTGCCATTGTGAGACCTTGCTTCAATCCCCAGTAGCACAAAAAAGAAAAAAAAATCTACCTGTATAAATTTGTGCCCTTTTGCATGCATATACACACACACACACACACACACACACACACATATATATTAACAAACCATTAAATTTTACCAAGAGAAATTCAAATGTAGCACATTGCTTTTGAGAAATAATATGAGGCAGAAGGAACAGAATTTAGAGAAATGGAGAAAGAAGCTCCATAGTGAGACTGAGAGGAGTTAATCAAGAATGTGAAGCCAGTTAGCTCTTCTAGTAAGTCGCGCAAGCCATGTGGGGCCTGGGAAGAGAGAAACCAAATAGCATCTCCTATGAACCTACCATAACACAGGCTGAGAATCAAGAAAGACACACCCCTACCTCTTCCCCACCACACCCCCTGTAAGCAGCCAGCTGATTTGGAGAAAAGGCTGAGTTGATAGCAACTGAAATTCAAAAAGCAACTGAATTCTTGTATTGTAGGACTAGGGCTGGTGCTCTGAGTATCTATTGGAAGGATAACCGTATGCAATATAGCAAATATGGGGGGTTTCCTTCTGTCTTGTTTTTGAAATCCAGTATTGCTCTCATTGTTTTGTTTTGCTCCAGTTTACTGTTTGCTTTTTTCAGTGTTCTGTTTTGATTGGTTTTATTCTATTTTGTTTGGTTTGGTTTGATTTTACTATGTCTGATGGAATGGACAACTATTAATAGGATAACTAGATATACTATGGTAGCCATTGTTAATTTCCTAGTATCCTGCTTTGAAGTTCTGTACTAATTTCACTGCTTTGTTTTGATTGGCTTTATTCTGTTTTGTTTTGTTGAGTTTTATTATCTTTTTTTAAAAAGTAGAATTTAGAGAAATGGCTAGCTTTTGCAAGAACTCAGTTTTTACAAAAACCGCACTGCAGATCATAATGGAACATTGCTTTGGTTTTGCCTTGGCTACGTATGCTACTGCTGATTGTTAGTTTCTTCCAAAGAAAATTGAACAAATCAGGAGACATATCTGGGAGTATTCTGTGGAGTTTACATATTTCTACAAAGCGAGGGCTCAGTTTTCCAGTGCCAAGCCATGGAGCAACATGTAGTCTAGTTTTCTAGGACTAGGCGCTGCAGGACAGTGTCTTCGATCAGAATTGTATGGTTCTAGATTGGAGTCTGAAATAGTAACTCTGTCAGTCTTTTGAACTGGACAGAGTCATTCTTAATATACATAATTTTATTCCTTTGACCTGGCCATTTTATTCCTAGTTATGCTGAAGAAATGCATGTGGTATGTGTACCAAAAAGAATGTATAGCAGTGTTCTGAGAAACGCGTAGCCTACATACACAGAAGCATTCTAGATGTCTATTAACAATGAGTAGAATGGTACATTGCAGCATATTCCTACATGGAATACTAGTGTCCAACCATGAAAAAACATGAATTACAACTGCATACAGTAAGATATATCAGTCTCACAAGTAAAGTACTATACAAAGGAAGCCATACATGAAAGAATTACATACTATGTGATTCAGTTGCATAAAATTTTTGAACGGGTAAACTCAATTTATGATTAATAGAATCAAGATAGTGTAATGGTTACACTGAGGCGATAAGGATAGTATTTGGGAAAGAGCAAAAGCAGGTTTCTAGGATTCTCTTTTCTGATCAGGACAGTAATTACTCAGATGTGTCTTTTGGGAAAACCCCATACAGATGTTAATCAGCAAGTCAGAAAAACTAAAACACCTGTGTCACTCAGGAGCTTACAGTGTGACATCATCACATACTTTTGAGATCACAACTATTAGATGGATGTAGCCACACTCAGCTTCTGTTCAGGTATCTAAAATTTTAAGATGAGGCTTCAGGAGAACGAAAGGTTAAAGAACCTTGTTCATGCTAATTTTACTCACTTTCCTTCAGGGGCTCGAAGAAGAACGAGAGCTTGTGGTCAGTTCTGAAAGACACAATACATTTATAAATAATTTTTCTGTTACTTTGAACTATTCTGTTAGCTACTGTCTTTTATAGAGAATCAAAAGAAAGAAGAAACTAAAATCAAGAAGTAGTATTGACTGTTACCAGCTATTAAGGTTGCCCTTGAGTAGTCCCAGGTGACTTTTTGAGATCCAGTAGATTATAGTACTATTTATTTCAAGAGTTATTGAAAATGAGTATTTCAGGTCACTAGGCTGGTTTTTGTTTGTTTTGTTTTTTGGTGCTGAAGATTAAGCCTGCTGAGCTACAGCCCAACCACCTGGGGGAAATTTTAAGTCTGTTTTAGAGAGCACAGAGCAGTTTAAGGGTATTGAGCAGACAGTACAGAGATCTGCTGCACACTCCGTACCCCTACACAGGCATAGTATGACCTCTCGGCATGTCCCACACCACAGCATTGCATTTATTTTTATTAATGAGGCTGTGTTGACATATGATCGTCTCCCAAAGTTATCATTATGTTTAAGTTCACTCTTATATTGTACATCGTGTGGTTTTCTAAATAATGTATATTGGCTACGTGTCTCCATAGTATCACACAGAATGGTTTCACGGTTCTGAAATTCTCTGTGCTTCATTTGTTTATCCCTCTCTCATCCAACCTTGACAAGCACTGATCCTTTTATCATTGTCTTGGGTTTTCTTTTTCTGGAATATCAAGTTGTTGAAATAATATAGCATTATAGCACTTTCAGACTGCTTCTTCTCACTTAATAATATGTATTTAAGGTTTCCCAGTCTTGTCACAGCCTGGGAGATCATGTTTTAACACAGAATCATGTTCTAATATCTATATGCATTGCATGATAATTTATACATTATCTTACTAAAGAGTATCTTGATTGCTTTAAGTTGTGGCAGTTATAGATAAAGCTGCTATGAACACTCATGTGTAGGATTTTGTGTGGATGTAACTTGTATAAATACCAAGGGTCATGCAAATAAGAGCACGTCACTGAGGTTTTGTGTTTTGGGAATCATTATATCATGTAGCAGTATTTACTCATCCAAGAGTCTTCTCAAAAATTTTTACCCATTTAGAAAATTTCACTTTAGGTAGATTGTTCAGTTTGTTTTTCTTTGTTTTTTGAGACAAGGTCTTGCCATGTAGTTCAGACTGGCCTGGATCTCACAGCTATCCTTCTGCCTCAGCCTCCTGATTGCCAAGATTACAGGTGTAAGCCACCACACCCGTTTTCCTGTTTTGTTTTTTTCGAGACAGGTTCTCATTACATAGTTTAGGTTGGCCTTGAACTCGCTTATGTAGCTCAAACTGGCCTCAAACTTGTGATCCTCCTGCCTAACCTCTCGTGCTGGAATTATAGGCTTGAGTACCATGCTTGGCTGTGTTTCTCCTTTGCTTTTTTATTTCTATGTCATTTTCAGCCTGTTTTGCTTGCCCTGTAGAATCTTTAGTCGTACAATGCCAAATAGCCATTTGAGAGAGGGATTGGCTAAGGAAAGAGAAGTTGTGACTAGATGAATACAGAGTTTGACACATTAGGATGTTATAAAACCAGTATAAGCAAAGTTGTAGGAAATGTTTTATTAAAACAGATGCTGTTAAGTCAAGTTAACTATAATGGTATAATCTTTTTTATTGCCCTTAAAAATACTTGTATGTTTCCATAAATTATCTAAAATGTTAAAAATTGTTTTAACAAGTTATTAATAAGTAGAATTACAAGGTTTCTTGCACATTGTTTTGCTTTTTTCTTTAATGGAAATTGATTTTATTAAACAATAAAAATTATCCCTTAAAACTTTAAATTATCTTCAATTTATTAACATACTGCTTATTAGGTAACTTTTGTTAATTAGTCAAAATTAATATATAATTCAGCAGTTCACTTTTTTTCTGTTAGTGCCTTTGCAGTACGTGATTACATTCATCATGGGGAGTTGGTACATAACACATCTTTTTTGTTTGTTTTGATTTTTTCAAGACAGGATCTCACTATATAGTTAGGCTTGGCCTTGAATTAATGATAATCCTCCTGCCTCTGCCTCCTGTGTGCTGGGATTACAGGCATGTGTCCCACCAGTCTTGGCCTTATAACACATTTTAAAATTCACATTTTTAAGATCTTTGTCAGTGCATCACAGAAACGGTGTGCTTAAATAGACTACATACAATAAGATAATTTTTAAAAAAAGATTTTAAGATATATAACACATTGCAAAATCATCCCATGGCACACCACAAATACAAATATGTCAGAAAAGTATGAATACTCACTTTAACCACACTACCGTAATGCGTTTTTCAGCCTGACCCTCTTAACATTTTGTCTAAAGAGTTATTCATGGGGTTGGAGGTTTAGCTCAGCGGCATAAGCACCTGCCTTGCAAGCAGGCAGTCATGAGTTCGATCCCTAGTACCAATAAAAACGAAAAAGACAAAAAAAAAAAAAAAAAAAAAAGAGTTATTCATGTGCCTGTTATGTAAAATACATATCAAAACCTTTATACTATTTTACTTTTTCACTCTTACTGTAGATGCTTATATTTGGCTATGAAGTGAGCATTTTTCTCCTTAATGATTATATCGTTGGGTTTTGAAGTTTTATTACAACATCCTGTGGATTCTCTTTCAGTGAGTTCTATGAACCAAATGCCCTCATGATGGAAGAAGAAGGAGCTATAATTGCTGGTCTGTTGGTGGGACTGAATGTCATTGATGCTAATTTCTGCATGAAAGGAGAAGATTTGGACTCTCAGGTATGGAGAAAATACTTAACCAAGAATGTCATTCTGAGTTTTGTTGCATTATGTTGTAGAGTCATAAGGTACCAATCAACTTGGAGAAAATTAAGTTATAAGAATTTCCTTTAGTTTTGATGTGATACTAAAAACCAGATTTTTGTCTTCTGTAATGTTTTCTCAGATTATTGGCTTTGAATTCTTTGATACAAAGTGGGGATAAAAAATGTGCGCTTGATAGCATTATTGTGAGGAATGCAGGCATTAGCATATATAATTCTTTCAGAACAGGACCTATCATGTGTTAATTGTTGAACAAATAAATATGCTAGTTCTGGTGTGGCCACAGTCTCACCCTTTCTGAATGAAACACTACAGTGAACTTCTGTTAGGTTTTACTCTGGGAAAACTGGAAAGGAAATACCATTTGGTCTGAATTTTACCAAGTAAATTAGCTAGATAATAAAACAGCAGTCCTAAATGAACACATGTATCTATGAAAGTTAAGAGGACACACCAAAATGTTAAGTAGTGGTCATCTTAAGGTGGTGACCTTAAGATGATAAAAGACCTTATGGGTCTTTTATAATACTTTTTTTTGTATTCTTTGAAACTTAGATGAGTGTGCATTATTTTTGTAATTACAACTTCTAAAAAATTATTGCTAAAAGTGACTAGAAGTTCAGTAGCAGAATTCCTGGAATAAGTGCAAGAGAAATTTGAAAAGCATATTTGAGTGAGCATTCTGTTGATCTCTTAAGCATGGTCTAGTCTACTAGTTCCTATTGATTAATCTTGATTTTTCTAACTTGTATCAATCCTCAGTTGCATTTAAAGGAAAACATTACAGTTTCATCATAAGTTTCTGATTTTTTCATGACAGTATTGTTACTTGGCATACCCAGAGAGAGACATTGTTTGGTGCCTTTGAGAAATGATCTAATTTTGTATTAAATTCTGAAAATCCTCTCTGTAGGTTGGAGTTATAGACTTTTCCATGTATCTGAAGGATGGAAACAGCAGTAAAGGTAGTGAAGGGTAGGTATAAAGGAAATTAAGTTTCTCTTCTTTCTCTTCAGTATTTTTTCCCTTTTGGTAGAATTTCAAGTTTATCACAGTAGTGATTTAAAAGACTTGCCAAAAGAATTTCTAAAAATAAAGATTTAATAAAATCTTACTGAGAATATCTATCGTTCCTACTACCAAATCCTAAAAGATTAAATGATTGTTTTGTTCTTTGACTTAGGAGCAAACAAAATAAATAAAAATTTATAAAGGGATTTAATTTCTCTACCTCTTAAAAGTATTATTGCTCTTCCTCTTAAAGTACTATTTGAAAACACACTTTCATAAAAGGGATTGCATTCTCAATTTGCTTAAAATTTGCACTTGAAATATAGGTCATGGGTTACATAAAATATTAACATCAAGTCAGGCATGATGGTACATGCCTGTAACCTCAGCTATTCAGAAAGCCAAGGCAGGAGGATCAGCAGTTTGGGGGCAGCCTGGGTAAAATGGCAAAATAAAAAAGCAGACATTATGGGGAGCTGGACTAAAGGGTTGTGGAACTCTTTACAACCTTTATAACTCTTCTTGTAAGTCTACAACTATTTCAAAATAAAAGTTCATAATTTTAAAAATGTTATTTATGGTACTTGGTGATTAGAGAAGTATACCTTATACCTTTTACATCTATAACAATTAGAAGTATAATTCTTATCCCAAAATTTTAACCTTGGACATGAGTTTAAAGAATATATCACTCATTCTTTTGGCATGTGGACTTAATTTTGGCTTTTGGTTGAAGAGTCTGTTTAATTTATGCCTGTTATAGATTAGTTGGTTCTAAATGCTTGGCCTTTACACTGTTTACTTTGAATGTGTATGTAGCTCCTATGCATAACACTTAAAGGCAAGTAAGTATATGGCCTCTGACAAGTACATTACACTAGAGTGAGTTTAATTCAGCTTCTGTAACAAGTTGGAGAGTCGTTGCTATAAATAATAGTAGTGAAACTAAGAATTAACTTGCAAAACAAACTTTATATGCCACTGATAGAATATAAAATGTAATACCTAAACCTTAAGTTAGTAACGTTTATAAGTACTTTGTTTTTTTTTTCTAATTTTAACTCACTTTTTATTGTGTATAACTGACATAAAATCATATATATTTAAGGCATACAGCACCGTGTTTTGAAATACATAATACATAATACATAATACACTACAATTAAGCTAATTAACAACACCTCATATATTTACAGCAATCCTTAATTTCTTCCACTTAAAAACATTTCCCAATAGCACAGATTAAAAAAAAACTTAAATAAAGGGAAGATGTGCTCATCTCTAAGAAATTCAAAGTTATATGAACACTATTCTAGATAATTTCTTGATACTCTATATGTTAATACACTTTTTAAAATGAAAAATAGACAATGCCATGTGTACTCAACCAGTGAAACAGCAAGTCACCGTAAATTCATCTCCATAAATTTGTATCAACATCATCATCTCTTAACTATTTAATGAATAACTTCTTCCCATCCCCCTTTGCCCCCTCTTACCCCTCCTTTTATTTCCTTCCATTTGTCTAATAACAGTCTCCCTGTTACATTCATGTCATCAGTTTTAGAGTCCACATACTAGTGAAAACATGCAATATTTGTCCTGCATGCGGCCTATCTCACTTAAGATGATCACCAGTTCCTCCCATTTTTTTTAAGATGATATACAGAATTCCATTTTTTATTACTGCTGAATAATGCTCTATTGTGTGTATAGATCACTTTTTCTTTGGCTGTTCATCTATTGATGGGGGGGACCTAGACAGGTTCTGTATCTTGACTATGGTGAATTGTATACAGGTATACAGGTATCCCTGTAGCACGCTGGCTTTAATCCCTTCTGGAATATGCCAGGGAGTGTTGTAGTTGGATCAAATGGTAGTTTTATTTTTAGGGAGGGTTTTTTGTGAGTTTGTTGTTGTTATCCCAAAATAAAGCACTCTGCCTACTAGCTGTCATGTCTCAGTGGTCTAGGCAACTACTGAACCACTATATCCTTCATAGAGTTTCCTATTCTGGAAATTAGTTTTTGAGTAACAATACAGAAGTTAACATATATAAAGAAATGGAAATCCTGCAAAATGAGTGTTCACTTGTATTAGAGTAAAACTAGAAACTAAAGCAGAAACATGCTTAGAATGCATTTAAGCACCTTATCAATGTGTATTTCTTTTTTCTTTTTTTCCTGCCAGTAGTGGAAATCAAAGCCAGGGTCTTCACACTGAGCTCTGTCCCCAGCCCTTTGTTATTTCTAGTTTGAATCAGGGTCTTACTAAGTCACTGAGTTGCCCAGGCTGAGTTTGAACTCGTGATTCTCCAGCATCGGCTTCCAAGAGTCGGGGTTTATAGGTGTGTGCTATGATACCCAGCTTCATCTGAACTTCTGAGCCTTTCTTGTGGCTGTGTCATGAGATTGTATAGCAAGTCTGTCTTTTGGTTCCGTGTATCTGTGCCCTAATTTTCTTCTCACAGTTTATAAAAAGAGTGGGTGAGAGGGATTGATATTTCCAGTGTTACTTACTTGACCTTATTTCCTCTCCCCCACCTCTCAGGGATGGTCAGATTACAGCAATTCTGGACCAGAAGAACTACGTGGAAGAGCTCAACAGACATCTGAAGTAAATGATAAATAGTATTCTTTTACTGAGATTTGTTATGAGAGACAACAATTTACATTTGTAGCTTTTCTCTTCATTTTCCCTCCCCCAGCATAGGACTGACTCACCCTTTTCTAGAAATACCTGAAGTGATTTCTAGTCCACAAATTTTATATGTTGCATCAATCAAGCCCCTGCTGAAGGCCCAGGGATTTAAAAAAAAAAAAAGATTTGTTGGGAGACAAGGGAAGTGTTAAAAACAGTGACGATAAATTCAAAAAATATTCAGCAAACATACAGCGTTGTGGCTTGCAGGCATTTAGTTAGGATCTGGATAGATGAGATTTAACTCTTTCAGTGAGCTCTAATAAAAAAGGCAGTGTAAGATTGTGAAATTATATCTAGTGATTAAAGATTCAATTAAGAATTATATATTTTAGGGGCCTGGGGATTTAGCTCAGCGGCATAAGTGCCTGCCTTGTAAGCAGGCAGTCGTGAGTTCGATCCCTGGTACTGATGAAAAAGACAAAAAAAAAAAAAAAAAAAGAATTATATATTTTAAAATGGGTAGACACTGTTCAAAATTAAAGAAAAACTGGCATGGGGAAAGGAGAAAAGAAGGAAGGGAAAGGAATTATAAAATATGTGATACGTAGAATTCTTATGCAGTGTATAAAGCCCCAGATGGCAAGGCTGATCCTGAGAAAGCTCGTTTCTTAGGTCCTTCAGATGAACAGTACTCCTTGCTCCCTTGCATTTCACACTTAGCTTTGAGTTGACTATTATCAAGTGCTCACCAGGTGTTTGCAGAGATTTCCAGACCATGAAGCAGTTTTCCTCTGTACAGGGAGGGAGAACCACAGCTGTTGATGACCTCTAGGACTTTGATGTTTCTGTTATACTAAAGATTGCCAGTTAATTCAGGAGATCAGTGTATCCATTAGTTATCTTGCTAATAGTTGATAGAACTTTCATAACTTCCATTGTGAAAATTATTTTAATTCAAAACTTACAATTTGACTGTACTACTGTAGCACAGTCACATTGTAATGGTTACATATTAGTTATATTTTCATTTTCTTGGTTCCAGTTGACAAATGCAATTTAAGTTCACTTTTTCTGGAGACCAAGAACTCGTGGTGACTATAATGAGCCTTACAAATAACAGCCAACCCAAGCCAATCATGTCACTGTGGTTGACAGTGAAATATAAATGTAACTCTATTGTTTACCCTTCTCTTAGTTTCTGACACTTAAAATAAAATAATGCAGTGCAAGCAAAATAATTCACAAGAGTGGGTGTTGAGCCAGGCATGGCAGCTCACACTTATAATCCTTCAGGAAGCTGAAGCAGGAGGATCAAAAGTTTGAGGCATCTTAGCAAGCCCTGTCTGAGAATTTATAAGCAGCTTAGAGTGTAGCTCGGTGCTCCCCATGTTCAGTCATGAGAGGCGCCAAACTAAATATTTAACTGAATACAAACTCCAGTGCTAAAGATACAGCCCCAGCAGCAAGACACACCTTCATATATTGCCTTAAAGCCTACCAGTCTGTCAACAATCATGGATACTAGGCACTGAAGGATACATGTGTGGAGGTCTGACAAGATACAGGTTGCTTTTCTTTTTTCAATGGGGATTATAGGGGTCTTTTCTTCTCTTAACAGTGCTACAGTAAATAACCTTCAGGCCAAAGTAGATGCGTTAGAAAAATCCAACACTAAACTGACAGAAGAGGTAAGTGTTTTGGGAATTCTTTGATGTGTAACTTACTAGTGTGCATTAGTGAAATCAGTGATGTCTATGTCATTTTGAGAATAGAGGACTTGACTTCTCAGGTGATGTCTGTTCCAGTACGCTATGCATTGCTCTGCCCTGCCAGCCACTTACCTAGGGCTTCTCCTTTATCCATGTGCACTGAGCAGGCTGAGCGATTCATATGGACATTTGGTGGGGGCTAATCTATAGTGAATATTCAGTACAGTAGCATGGCATTTATCATCTCTTTGTTTAATAAGTATTTAGGGCACTATTATGTTCTAAAACTAGTTACCAATTTTTATGCACCGGGTGCTGATTTATGTGTTAAGCTTGGCAAATTCCTGACCCACACTGTGGGATAGCAAAGACATTGAGCCCTGGTCACAAGCCCATCTGCCTGCTCACGTGGCCCGCTAGTCTGGGGTTCTGTGCTCTGGTCAGTAGTCATCTGACCCCTGAGAGATCTAACTCCTCACTGGCCAGAACACAGGGTATTGATGTTTCCTATTTCAGCCTCTGTGACTCTGAAGAGCAGATGAGGAAGCTGTTAAGCAAAGACACTAAAACAAGAAGAGAAAATTCACCTCATATGTACTTATGATTAATAAAGCTGATTTTTTCTGACTTGGCAAAGAGTACATTACAGTTTTCTTCAGTAGCATTAGATGTTTTTAAGAAATAGCGAAAGTAAAATTACTAGTATTACAAAGTTTATCTTTACCTTTTACTATAGTAGCCCTATTATGTACAGTAAGATAAATTTGGTTGAAGCAGAGTCAAGTCAGGAATATGCTGTTGAACCAGTTTGTCTTTAAAAAAAAATTTGTTACAATTTTAAAACACCTTGGCAGCTCTGCAAGCTTCATTTTTGAATGAAGATTTTTAAGTTATGTATTTTGTAAGGTTATTCGGATTAAATTAAATTGTGATTTGTGCACAATAATGGCCTAGAACAGTGCTGACATTTCCTACCCATATGGTGAACATCATTGTTGCACTGTACTACACACCTGACAGCCTGGCTACTTGGGAGACTGAAGCACGAGGATCCCAAGTTCCATGCAGATGTGGGCAATTAAGCAAGCCTGTCTCAAAAGTGGAAAGTCCTGGGGTGAAAAAGCACTGCTGGGTTTAACCCCTGGTGCTGTGATCAACAGTAAAGAGAGGGGCTGTTAATTTTATCCCATCACAGGACTTTGCCCCTGACTAGACTTATTCCATTAACAATACTCATGTATTCCTCGTCTTACGAGTAACATTTGTTTTCTTAAAACTGAACTTAACACTGTGTGTATTGTATAGAGAACAAATAAAGCTGGTCAGGGCTTTTCCATTTTGAGATTTAAGGGAGCCAGTACAGATGAACTTCTTTCTCCAGTATGTCAGGATCAGAAGAACTGAGCAGATGAATATCAGTGTCCCTTTTATAGTTGATAAAGCTGAATTAACATGCCCACTTGGGCCTAGAAAGTCAGGTTTCTTGGTCCTTTCTCCAAAATTGAGTTTTTAAAAAAGTTCACCTGTCCACAGTGAACTTAGATCTGGGGAGCAGACTGCTTGTCCGAAGCCCTTTTAAATACCTTAGCAAAGCTTGTTGGTTAGACAGGTGCAGGTTTCAGGCTTGGCTCTCCTGCACTCCCCAGCTGAACTGGGAGTCAGCAGCACCCTCTGCTACCAGTGAGGAGCTGCCCCTCTACTTCCTCCCCTGTGGGATTCAGGCCCTTCATGTCCTTGGGGTACAGCTGAGTTCAGGAGGTACAGAGAGGAAAGTGTACCAGCCTTGCTTTTCTCTGCTGTGGAATGGGAGCCAGAAGGCAGTTCCTAGCTAACACCTTACCTGTGACAGGACCTTACCTTGCTAAGTGCCTAGGATCTGCTAGCATCTCTTCAGAAGTGGAGGCTGCAGCTCGCTCCTTTGCTCTGAAGGTCAGTGACCAATGTCTTCTGTGGACCCCGTAGCAGACCAGAAGCCTGGGCCCTGAGTGCGTTGAGACCAGCTCACTACACACATGAGAAGCAGGCCTCCCCAAGTTCTTCAGAACTTTTATTGATAGCTTCCTTTATTTATAAGAATGAGACTGAAAAATATGTCCCAGACTTTTTTTTTTTTGATACCCAGGATCATCAAAGTCATGACCTTGTGCTTAGCAGGCCAGCACTTGAGCCAGAGCTAAATCCCCAGCCTGTCCCAGACTTACTTTATATTATTATTAAAGAAAAAATTATTTTTAAAATTTTACCACTAGCTTGCCGTTGCAAACAACAGGATTATCACCTTGCAAGAAGAAATGGAACGAGTTAAAGAAGAAAGCTCCTATATACTGGAATCCAATCGGAAGGTGAGTCTTCCCTGGTTATAAAATATCCACAAGGAGAAATTCCCAGAGGAGGCGCCTGTTCATGCTTCAGTACACTGCCATAACATAAAGGAGACCGGAAGGTTGCACCCTTCTGCCCTCTATGCTTCCTACTTTCAGTGTCACCTGCATATGTTTAGTGACTACAGGAAAGTGTAATTCAGTCTTCTGGTTTTATGTACTTGTGATTTGTACTATATGCAACTACTGTATATGTGATATTAAACATGCCATTATTTTCACAAAGTGTGACTGGTTTTGGGGGAAAGGGGTTGATACCGGGGATCAAACTCACAATTGTGCACTTGCAAGGCAGGCACATACGCTGCTAAGCTAAATCCCCAGCCCAAATATGACTGTTTTTTGAGAACAGACATGTCATTAATTTGATATTCTGGGAAAGAGTTACCAAATGAGTCTGTTAGATAACTTAATTGCTTGAAGCACCAAACTTTTATACATGTCTACTTAGCTTTTTGGCAAACCTTTTATTAATTGTACAACCTCAAGCCTTCTTTGTTAGAGGACATAACCCACTTAGCCATTTATGATGGCTGAGGATCATAATTGTTAACATTGTACTAAAATATAATAGTGCTGCTTTAGGAGACTACAGAAGCTGATAGCTGGCCAGTTGTGGTGGCCATGTCTGTAATCCTAGCACTCGGGAGGCTGAGGCAGGAAGATTGCCACAAGTTTGAGGCCACTTTGAACTGCACAGAGAGACTCTCAAACAAAAACTGGGTCCTAAGGGAGCACACAGTTTTCTATGCCTAGAGTGAGTGGCATTGATGTGTCAACTTCATGAGTACAATGCTCAGGAGAATATTTTGATGACACAGTTATTTTTAATATGACCTCTAGATAGCTGAAGACTCCAGATATGAGAACTGTGGGGATTTACTATAGTATCATTTAAACCTTTAGCTCAAAGCCGGGCATGGTGACTCATGCCTGTATCCCAGCATTTGGGAGGATAGGAGGATCCTGAGGCAGGAGGATCCTTGTGAGTTCGAGACCAGCCCAGGCTACAAAGTGAGCTCAAGCCCAGCCTAAACTGCATAGAGAGAGCCTAACAAAAAACAAAACAACAACGACAACAAAACCTTTGGTTCAACTATTTTGCAGTGAATACTGTTGTTTCTTTTTTTGGGGGGGAGGGTACTGGGAATCGAACTCAGGACCATGCACTTGCAAGACAGGTGCTTATGCCACTGAGCTAAATCCCCAGCCCCATTTTGTTTTTTGTCGTTTTTTTGGTACCAGGAATGAAACTCACAACCTCATGCTTGCCAGGCAGGTGCTTATGCTGCTGAGCTAAATCCCTGGCCCTAGCTCGTGTTTTGGTAACATGTTTCAGATTTTTAAATAAAGTGGCAAGAAACTCCCAATTCAGAGTAACGTTTAAAATTTTCTAGACTTAATTTTTTTATTATCTTAATCCATTGTTATACCTGCATTGTAAGTACCATCACTTTCCTTTACTACATAGTAACTCTATCATCTGCTAATTCTTTGCTGATTATTTAAGTCCTTAAATACATATTATCTTGTTTTTTCAAGGGCCCTAAGCAAGACAGAACTGGTGAAGGGCAAGCACTAAGTGAAGCAAGAAAGCACTTAAAGGAAGAGACACAGTTGCGATTGGTAAGGCTGCTTAGGTCTCGTGGCTCAGGTACATGGGAGAAGGCACTTCCTGAATGGTGTTAGGCGCATCTGCTGAGAAACAGGAATACCAGTACTGCTCTGTAAAATGTTTTATAAATCCTATGAAACTGTTTTTCCCCCTATGGTTTTTGAGACAGAATCTCACTATACAGTGAGGGCTGGTCTTGAGCTCAGTTTGTAGCCCAAGCTGGTCTTGAACTCCAAATGGATCCTCCTACCTCAGCCTCCTGAGTGCTGGAATTACAGGGGTGAGCCACCCACGCTCAGCTCTAAACTCTTACTCCAAACTCTTTTTTTTTCTATTTTAAAGAGAATAAAACAAAACAACAAAGCAGAGCAGAGTGAAACAATGCAAATAACACAGGATTTCATAAAGAGTAGGAAATCAGCAGTGGCTACCATGTCTTTTGTTTTCTTCGAAATAGTTGTCCAAACTTTTATTCTTTTTAACCCACATTTCCCATAACGCTTTCTCAGTCCATTTTTTGAGTATTCTCAATAGCATTATTGCCCACCCATGTTTCACCTCACCCTTCATTTCTATGAAGAGTCAGTAGAGCTTGAAGGGAGCAGCTCCTCTTCCACTTGTAAGAATCATAAATAGTGAATTAATGCTCTTTAGCTGTTATTTCTGAGTGGGTACCAGGGATCAAATTTATAGCCTTGCGCTTGCCAGGCAGGTGCTTATGCCACAGAGCTAATCCCTGGTCCCCTGAATTTATTCTTAATCTTACATACAAGTGAAAAACTATAAAAAGGAGTACTATCCATTCATTTTTTGGTTTGGTTTTTTTTTTTTTTTAAAGATGAGCTCCTACTCTGTAGTCCAGGCTGGTCTCAAACTCATAAAAATTAATGACAAATTAACCAGTATAGCCAGGCGTGGGGGTGCATACCTATAATCCCAGCACTCACAAAGCTGAGGCAGAAAGATCACTGCAAGTTTGAAGCCATCTTGAATTACATAGTGAGACTGTCTCAAAAGTCAAAACAAAACTAAATTAGCATTGTGTGGCAACTTCAGGTTTTTTGAAAGTGTTAACAGTGTTATTTTATTCTTAAAATACCACTTACCTTCCACCTAGATAAAAATTACAGCTTAAAACCGTTTTCATAAGGAGGTCCTAGAAATAAATAATACACCATTTTCATATAGCCTACAGTTCATTTTCTGTCATGTACAGCAGGGAGTCCCGGTTAATGTTTGTCAAGAAAGTAGGTGAGGCCCAGGGTATATGCCTGGGTATAGGTTTTTGTATCTTTGCTCATCGGAAAAAAGTTGCAATAACTTGCTGTGATATTGCACCCCTAAAATCCCAGCACAGTAGGAGTCTGAGGCAAGTTCAAGCGCAGCCTGGGTGACTAGTGAGACCTGTCTCAAAGTTTAAAAAAAAAAAGATGAGGATACAGCTCAGTGCAGAGGTCCTGGGTTCAATCCCCAGTCCCAGTAATGACAACAGTGACAATGGTGATCATGATGTTGCAGTGATACCTAAGAATTCAATTGTCTTTGTTGACCACTCTTAGTAATTGAGAGTTGGTGTTCTCTTCTGGGTTTCTTGGACTCTTGAATATATCAACATTCAAATTTCAGAGAATTGTAACTGCCTTATTTTGTGTGATTACTATAACAGTCTACATTTCTATGATAGAACATAGCATTTGTCTTAATGTGTGCTTTGAGTATTCTCAAAGTGTCTTTGGTTAGCAAGTTTTCAGATTTGTACATTATTGAGAAAAGTTACTGAGTTCTAATTACTATTCTTACTGTTAATGTCTCTGAACATGAATGATAGCTTTTGGCTATTTCGCCATAGCATGCCCGCCTTCTTTCCTTATGAGACTTTAGGGTTTGTTCCAAGTGGAGTAGAGCATACAAGCACTGTACTTCTGTCTGGGGCAGGATGTTGAAAAGGAGTTGGAGCTCCAGATCAGTATGAGGCAGGAAATGGAGCTGGCCATGAAGATGCTGGAGAAGGATGTCTGTGAGAAGCAGGAGGCGCTGGTGTCTCTGAGGCAGCAGCTGGACGACCTCAGGGCTCTCAAGCATGAACTGGCCTTTAAGCTGCAGGTAGGAGAGGAAGTGGGGCCTCACTGGCTGCTGGGGCCCTGGGGCTCCCTCACCCAATGTGGCGATCACACTGGAGCACACTGGAGGCCCACTGCGGCACCATTGTAGGATCTCCAGTTGCTGTCCTGAAAATCAAGGCCACTTTCTGCTCTGCAAAGGGGGCTGGCACTCTTTTTACCCTAGAAGACAGTTTCTTTTCTACCCTTAATATACCAACTGAGTTACCCATTTCTCTACGCTGTGCACATAACAATATCAATATTAACCAAGTTTTTTCCATTTAGAAATTAACTGACTTGCCAATATATGAGCATTTTTCTCTATTTCCTACTTACCATTAGATTCAAACAGCATTTGTGATTATATTTTGTGTTAATGCAGATCTTTATAATTATTTTACATTCAGAGTTCAGACTTAGGAGTAAAACAGAAAAGTGAACTAAACATTCGTTTGGAAGAGAAGACTAATCAGATGGCTGCTACCATTAAACAGTTGGAACAAAGGTAAAATGCTGTTTTTTATAGAAAAAAAACTGAACTGTCAGTGTGAGAAGTGAGGAGATTTGCCATGCATTCAGCAAGTAGAAAATATATTACATTCTTCCAATCAAAATCAGACATTTTAGAAGAATGAAAGCCAGTTAAATTTTCTGTTTTCTGGACTAGGGGTTTAGCTCAGCAGCATAAGTGACTGCTTGGCAAACGCAAAGTCTTGAGTTCGATCCCTGGTACCAAAAAAAAATTTTCTCCTTTCTAAAATGTTGTTGAAGACATTACTAAGAAATGTCATCCTTTTCTGACAACTTCAAACATCAGATATGGGAATTTAACACACCTGTAATTCCAGCACTTGAGAGACTGAGGCGGGAGGATCACTGTGAGTTTGAGGCCAGCTGGGCTGTGTAATGAATTTAACGCCAGCCTGTACTACAGAGTGAGATTTCCTCTAAAAAAAGAATGAGACATTAACCCATTTCATCATGATTAGAAGTACATGTTCCAGAATGAAAAAACTTTTGAGTATGTGTTTGTTTTCATCACAACCTTTGACTACTTTGGTACTAGGTGATACCTTGATGTGGCATTCTGAGATAGGATTTCTACCAGTACCTGTTTTTTTTTTTTTTTTTTTTTTTATCAGTACCAGGGATCGAACTCACAACTGCCTGCTTGCAAGGCAGACGTTTATGCTGCTGAGCTAAATCCCCAGTCCCCAGTACCTGTTCTTGATCTTTCTCTCTTACCTTTCCCTTGAACTATTTTCTTTTTATTCTTTTTCTCTTGAACCTGTCCTGGATGTCCCAGTAGCTTCCTTTGACAGATGCAGTGCACAGCCTTCTCTGCCCTGCACCTAGCAAGCTAAGTCCTTACCCTGTTCCAGTCACCCTGGCCTACCCACCCGACACCCGAGCTTATAGCTTACTTGGCCAGAGACTCTGGTTTTTGTTTGTTTCAAACCACTGCTTTCTTTCAAATGACTTGCAAATCAAGTACAACATCTGCAGTGATTTGATATTTGCACTTGTATATTTATTTTTTTTAATTTTGAAAGAAATGGGCAAAAAACAGTGACCAAGTTTATTTGAGAAAGTAAAAGTGAAGGAGAAATTGGCTCTGCAGAGTGAGCCTGGGTTGCATGAAATAGGATAAAGCCAGACAACAGTCCACCCTGGAGTACACAGGGCCTGCCGTGGTGAGAACACTTGAGCAGGACTGAGCCGCTGGGCTGGAAATGTACAGTCTTGTCTTTCCTATGTGCTTCTCTCCTGATGGTTCACCAGTGAGGGACACCCTTCTCTCCATGGGATCTTCCTCAGATATATTCAGCCTCAAATGCCACCCACAGTGCCTTACAAGCTTCCTCTTGATACCTCTTTTCAGCTAGAAATACTGTCCCTGGGATGCCCGTAGCTTCGTGTCCATCTCCATCTATGCCACTGTGACACTTCTCACTGTCTGCCTCATCTTACAAGCATTTATATCTCATATCTTCAGTAGGAACGTAAGCTCCATGAGGTTAGCAAGCTGATCTTCGAAGTCCATCATTAGGTCTTTCTTAGTACCTTGAGTGTATGTGGCATAGATTGAACATGTTAATGGATGAATGAGTCAGTGACTTTTTTTCTTCATATGGTTCTTAACCAAGGAGGGCCCTGAGCTCAAAATTAAGTGTAGATTTAGAAATAAACTTGAAATCTCTAGTGTGGATGATAAATAAAAAGATATTCTGGGTGTCAGGTGTGGTGGTGCACCCCATAATCCAGACACTCTATGAGGCTGATCTGGAGGATCACAAGCTTGAGCCCAGCCTGGATGACTTAGTGAGACTGTGTCTCAAATTTAAAAAAAAGCTCGGGCTGCAGCTCAGTGTGAAAGCCCTGGGTTCATTCCCCAGGACTACCAGAAAAACGTGGTGTCCCAGAAAAGAAAGTCATCTAGAAAATGGCCTATAGTCAGTTGTAAGCTTATAACTTAACAGATTGATTTTAGTATTCGTCAGTTGTGCTTTTAAAGTATATCAGATTATTTTTCAGTGGATGTTTTTTTATGTGAAATTTAAACTGTAATAATGATTCATCTCTCTATTAAGCTGACTTGTTCTCTTGCAATCTTTGTGTTTCTTGTTTATCCATTCTCATTCCCCTTTCACTTCATTTTCATTTTTATTTTGTTTAGTGAAAAAGATTTGGTGAAACAGGCAAAGACCTTAAATAGTGCAGCAAATAAACTGATCCCAAAACATCATTAGGCATTTATGTAGTTGGTCGCCTCACAAGTCTGTTATCCCAAGTTAACTGTAAAAGGAAGAAACCGAAAGTTACTACATTTAAGCTCTGATCTATATAAATTGTCATCAAAAATTGGCTTTGAATTTGTTGGGTTTTTAAGAACAGTTGGATATACAGGTTGGGTTTATGTTAGTTTTTTCTCAAAGTTAGAAAATTTTGGGGCCAGGGATATAGCTCAGTGGCACAGTACCTGCCTGGCAAGCACAGGGTCCTGAGTTTGATTCCTGGTACTCCCCACCCAAAAAAAAAAAAAAAAAAAAAAAAAATTGGTATAAATTCAAATTAACTGCTAAATAAACTTAAGAAATATTTCCAATTTGACCAATAAGTAAAACACCATTGAAAAGCCTAGGGAGGTGAAGTTTGGTGCATATATTAACGCTGCCTTTATTGGCCAGCGCTGGGCACCAGCAGCTCAGGCATGATCTACCCCACGACTGTGCCAGAAGTCTGCTCCGTGCTGCCATGGGACGAACTGAACCACCCCTGCACCCTGGACTGTCTGAAGTAGCTCTGTGTCTCTTAGGCCACCCCCATCCCCACACACACTTTCATTATGTGGGTTATGTCCCCAAGCCAAGGATAAGTACTTAGTACCCTATTGCATTACAGTTCTATTAATAACCCAAGTTGCTTGCAACATTTTTGCCTTAGTGACTGAAAAAAGAGAAACAGCATCCTTACATTTCTTTAAAGTACATGGAGGTAAAGTTAGTGATTAGGTAACTTATAATAACATCATGTGGAAGCTTCAGAAACCCTCCTAATATTTGTCATCTTCTACCTCTGCCCCTTTCCTGCCGTTCCACTTCCAATGAAGTAGCTCAGAGTGAACAATTTTCATAAAAACACTCCTATTAAAAATGCACTATGGGGGCCAGGGATATAGCTCAGCAGTGCATGTACAAGGTTCTGAGTTTGATTCCCAGTACCCCCTCAAAAAAAAAAAATCTGCACTACACCCTTTTCTAATTTGTTTTGCTTTCTTCCTGGCAAGGACAACATATAGACATGAATGAAGATTCCTGTCTGTCCTTTCTTACCTGGAGACATTCAGTGCTTCTGTTACTTTTCATTTAGATGGGGATTTGCCGCAGGTTCTCAAAAACTAATAATTTAGTTACTAGAAAAACATTTCAGTGTAGGAATCAGATAAATTATAAACTCACATTCTTTATTATTTACTATCAAAAATAAAGATTCTCAGTATATATACACAAGCAATATTAGCAGGGCTTCTTTTTCAAAGTGACCGCAGATCTAAACCTTTCTGGGTTTTACATTGTAAATAATCCTATAAATACTTTGATTTTTTTTAAAAAAAAAAAAAAGATTTTTGATTTGCAGAGATAGGCTTTTACATAAGCCTGTATTCCTTAAAAAGGTCTTTACAAAATTTTGAGATTTTTTTGTTTTGTTTTCTCTTTCCAGTAAGCTTTGCAGCATTTTAGCTGTGGAAGTGAGGACAAAATAATTTATTTACTTACAGGCCTGTTTCTTTCTTCTTGGCAAAATTCAGAATTAGGAGAGTAAGATAGGTTTCATGTACGCTTCTTTTTTAGGTCCTTGAACCAGACTTGAACCCCAAATCAAGTCAAATAATACATGTTAGAACAGACTGCACAGAAGAAGATCTTGCACTTTTGAACATGTTTTAGGTTTACTAATTTTGCACCTATATAAATTAAATTTGCACTGAGTCACCTTTTCTATGAGCATTTGAAAGGAGTGATCAAATACTAAGTAAAGACTATACATAGCATGCATCTGCTTGTATTACATAAAATCCCAAAACATGATAGGTGCAAAATTATACAATGTTCAAGAAGCATCCATGGGAACCTTTCAGAGAACATGATTAGGAATCTTACGAGACCTAGGGCTGAGTTCTTTGTTCAATGGGTCACACACCACTTGGCAGGAATGGAAAGGAAAGAGACAGCCAAATTCTGACAGACTTCTCTTGTACAATAACCAGAAGCCCCGGTAAAGGCTGGTGTGTAATTCCAGTGATTTAAAATATGTTTGGAGAAGGGGTCAGAAATAATGTTAAGATTCCACATATGAGAAGGTAGTTACCCATAAGCACGTTCCAGCTGTGTGTGTAACACAGAAGTATAAAATTCTAAACCTGCTAGGAAATGAAAACAAATGGGTTAAATTCAAATTACTATGTACTTGAGGTTGGCTTTGGATATAGATTTTCTAAAAAGTGATGTTTTATTGTTTATCATCTAATGGCTGTACACTGTAGTACTAGAATAAAAAAAGTGGAAAATTGGCTTTTCCTCTGCCTGGTTCACCTTCATCTTGCTTTTTTAAAGAATTTGTTTCTTCTCCATCTTTTCCCTCACTATTTCTTTCTTTGTGTCCTGCAAAGTGTTTGCCCTGTCTCCCTGTGCCTCGTTCCTTGGGTTATTTTATTTTGTGCTGTGAATTTGCTCTCCCTCCATGGCTTTTGTTTTCATCCAAGTTCATGTGGCTCACATCCAGATTGCGCCTGGCTGAGCAAGGCCGCCAGTCAGCTGAGTTGGACAACCGGCTCTTCAAGCAGGACTTCGGGGACAAGATCAACAGTCTGCAGCTGGAAGTGGAGGCCCTGACCAGGCAGCGGTGAAGAGAGGGCGGCTGACATGACGGGGTCGGGTGCTGTCAAGCCAGACAACCCGTCTTTCCGTGTCCTTTCCCTCGGGTTGGGGTCAGGACAGCTTCACATACGTTAACTTTCCCAAATACTGTCACCATCTTCTGTATAGCAGAAAAATACCAAGATGTGCTGGTACACACAAAGCTGTAATCGCAGCGCTGCAGAAGCTGAGGCACAAGAATCGCCATGAGTTTGAGGCCAGCCTGATCTATTTACCTATTTCTCCTAAAACTGAGTCTTACATTAATGTTTGCTCCAAAAGACACAGTGGGGCTTATTTTTCAGGAGATTTATTCATGTATGATCACCTACATTTATTCATGTACAAAAGGCCACATTTACTTAAGTACAGGCACGTCGTCATTTGGAACATCACCATTATTCTCCAAACCCCAGATTCCGGCCTGGATTTCTTACAACTCCATTTCCCATAAAAGCATTGGCCCCGATCTCTCATGTCCAACCAAAAGGTGCTCCTTACACAAACACAGCCTGCTCATAATTCATCATTACAACACACAGCATTCTGAATTGTGAAGATTCATGTTAGACGCAGCCACATCCGACCCTTGTCCAGATGCATGTGTTGATCGTGTGTTGTGTCTGTGATCCAGCTGTCATTTGGCAGCAGGCTTCCAGGCTTTCCATTGGTGGTTACCTCATGTCCAGAGGCACCCACTTGGGTATCTACACATACTTCATTGTAATTGATGTTAATCATTTAAGCATTAAGGTCAATATCACTTATATCTATATTAATATTGTTAATTTATAATCCAATATACCTGTTATGTGTTACAGTCAGTATACTAAATGCATCCATCTTGGCTGGTGATATTTAATGGGCTTACTTTCAGGAAAATATGGTAGTTTTAAGGCCAGTTTAAATTACACGGTAAGACTTTATCTCAAAAAAAAAAAAAAAAAAAAAAGCCAAAAAAATTTTTTAGAAAAATATAGCTCAGGGTTCCAGAATAGTAGTTAATTGGCAACACAATGATGGTTTCCTGAAATTGTGTTATGTGCCATGTGCAGTCACTCTCGGTGTCTTCCCATCAACTCCTTTAGTAGGTGGTGGTACTGTGCTACTTTCATGTGCAGTTATAGCATGGAGGGGTTAAACATGTCCAGATGCACACAGTTAAACTAATACATGGAAACACTGTCAGTTAAAATCCTGTTTCTTTGACTGCAAACCTTAACTGGTCTCACGTTTTTTCTGAAATGAACTCCCTTGTGTGGTGAGGCCACAGGTTTCACACGGAAGCTTGCCAGAAATAAAACACACTCAGACACAGGTGGCTGTAATCGGGTGGTCCTGAGTACAAGTACAAGAGAGAGTACAAGTGCTCGGTGTGGAGTGGTATTTAGTGTCTGTGCTCTTTCTGCTACATTCTGATGACGTTTATAAATACTGTCATTCAGGTCCATAATTTGTTATTAGGACATAAGGTAAAATACTGATAATTTCAGTTGGGTACAGTGGCACAGCCTATAATCTCAGTGCTCTAGGAGGCTGAGGCAGGAGGATTACAAGTTCCAGCCCAGCCTGGACAATTTAAAGCTTAGTAAGGCCCTGCCTTAGAATAAAAACTAAAGAAGAGGTCAGTGGTATAGTTCAGTACAAAGGTTCTGAGTTCAGTCTCCAGTATCACCCCATAATGTGCCAGTATCGTGGGCATACTTACACATACATGCACGCATCCTGGTATTGAGAGTGGTGATCTTCAAGGACCACATGAGCCTTGAGTATACTGCTAATCACCCCAGAAAGATGAAACATTTGATGATTCTTGGTATTAATTGATTTTATTGTGCTTTAGTACTTTAAAATGTGGTTATGTAAGTCTAGCTTTTTATTCAAGTACTAATGACTGAAATTTAGCATTCTTAAAAAATGTAAATATAGGAATCCAAATTTTTCTCCTTTTTTCGGCTTACCCCAGGAATCAGCTTGAATTAGAACTAAAACACGAAAGAGAAAAGAGGTTACAGAACAACCAGAACCTACCCGGAAAGGCTTCACAGAGGCTGGAGCCCAAGATGGTAATGTGTGTTATTACTCATTCAGTGACTCTGTTCACTTTTATCGGCCACCTGCATAAACACTACCCATCCCTGTTGTGGGTCACACACTTAATTGCTGTGGCCTGGAGAATGCAGAGAGCAAACCAGAGAGAATAAGCAGAGGAAGCCAGAGAGCTCAATTCGAAGCCTGCCTTATGCACGCTGTAACTCAATTTAGTGATCTCTAGTGATTCCTTACTCTTTCAGTTTTTTAAAGATTATTAAGGTATCTTAACAAAAGTATGTGTTTCTTGGATTTTTGCTTGTAATTTTTAGTAATATGCTGTAGTAATCCCTCCCAACCCTGAATTTCCCTTTAACATTGTTTCAATACGGACACTTCTTTTTACCTTTCTCTCAGCTGTGAGGATTTCAGTTTGAGTTACACAGAGCAGGACATGGGCTTGAGGAGGGCTTAGCTAGCACTGCAGAATAATTTAAAGAGAAGAGACAGAAACTTGTGTGGAACAGTCTTGAAAGACAAGACCTTCAACTTATGCAAGCCTCAGGGAGCTAACATGGGCTAAAAGCCAGCCTTGTCAGAGTTCTTGTCAGAACTCTGAGAAGCGTGAGATATTTTTTCTTTTTTCTTTTTTTCCTTTTTATCGATACCGGGGGTTGAACTCACAACTACCTGCTTGCAACCTCCAGTCCCGAGATATTTTTTCTAATCAAAAAAATTATCCACTTTGTGTATGTGATTATATATGACAAAGCATGGCATAGTTTTAAGCTTAAAATCTCTAGAGTGAGCTGCTGATTAGCTACAGAGTAAAAAAAACTGGAAAGTGTAAATAGGTTACTAAGCACCACTACCCATTGCTGATCATTTAAAGTGTATCAGAGCCACTCCTACAAGATATAGTCTTGATTATTTTAGTTTAGTGAACGTAAACTCTGAAGAGTTTCCTTAAAATCTTAGCCTACTTTTTGCCTTGTATGTCCAAAGAGGCTTTAAGTCTCCCTCTTGGATTGCCCTGTTTAGGGTCTCTAGGAAGGTAGACATTGCACTGACCTCTCTCCTTGGATATTTAAGTAGTCTAAAGACATTCTCCATTTCTAGCAGCTGGGTGAACAGCAGTTGAAAGCAGGGGATGTGGTGTGGGTACATGCCTGTCTGAGGTTATGTGTACCTATAAACTGCCCAGGCCAGCTCTGGACAGTGGGCACTGGGTACATTGGAAGCTGTGGCTTTGTGTCAGTCGTTGCGTGCTGCAGAGCCTGGAGGCACCACGGCACTGAGGTGTCCAGGTGACTGTCCAGAGGCAGCATTATCAACGGATATAACAGTGCCTGCTTTCCCAGTTCTTCAGAGTTTTCAGGGGTGCAAGGAGGATAAATGTATATTCCTCCTAAGAAGTAAAATAGCTTGAAGGAAATAAGATACATTCCGTGTAAATAGGAGTCACACCTCATTTTTTTTTTTTTTTTGATCTTTTTCCTTATTTATCGGTACCAGGGATCAAACTCACGACTGCCTGCTTGCAAGGCAGGCGCTTATGCCACTGAGCTAAATCCCCAGCCCCCTCACACCTCATTTTACTAGGAATGTCTACTCTGAAGGTAATTTATTTTAATTATTAGTTAAGAAACTTACTTGAAACAGAGTATGAGGAAACATGCTTAAAAGTTAGAACCCTCCACAATTTTTAAAAAAAAAACCACTCAGATTCATACAAACTAAGGCAATATGAAAGAAAATATCTGCAATATCATCACTGTTCAGCACCCTGAATAATTAATAAATGGGTTATTTTCTTTTGGCAGGATGAGAGGCACAAAAGTCAAGAGGAAAATATTAAGCTGAAAAAGCCCCTGAAAGAAAGGTACAGGTGTTTGTTAATCAAGTATTAACTAAGATAAAATCATTTTGGGGTGGTGGGAGAGGGAGATTTTGATACTGTGTTGGCATTGACAGAGACCAGACAGTGACTTAGGATATTAATTTGAAAGACACTTTGAAGCAAAGTACATAAATAAACCATGTAACAGTTTTGAGCCAAATCTAATGAATGAAGCATTTTAGAGGAGTAATCAGGCTATTATTTGATTCTCTGCTAGATTAATCCTAAACTCAGTTATCACTTAAAAGATGATTTTTTGTGGGACCTGGTAGCGCACACTTATAATCCCAGGTGCTTATGAGGCAGTGGTGGGAGGATTGTGAATTCAAGGCCAGTCTGGGCAATGTAGTAAGAATCTGGGGATCTAGCTCAGTTAGAACAATACAATCTCCTACCACCAAAAAAAGGAAAAGGAAAAAAAATTATTTCTCATCTGTACTCAGAACCCCAAAACAAATGTATTTGAATATGGTTTGCTTCCATCTTTGCTCTCAGTTTCAAATAAATACACTCACTGTTTAGGGTCTCAAACAGATTCATGCAGTTCTTTTCTCTTAACTCTTCACCTGTATTAAAACTTGAAGGTTCAGCTGTCTGACACAGAGGGAGCACAAAACCATGCAAATGGGGTTGGAGAGCCTCTCACATGGCAGCCTGTTCTTGCTCAGGAGCCCCACAGACCCCCTACCAGGAGCAGACTTCGGCCCAGCCATTGTTCATGAGTG